GGGCGGCCGGGAAAGTTCCGCCGGCGCTTTGGAAAACCTGGCTTGCCGACCCATGGCACGGGTGGCGCTGTTGGGCGAAAAGGTTGCCCGACGGCTCCCGGTCTTCTTGCGTCCGCCTGGCCTCCGCTTGCTACTCGAGCGGGCACAGCTAGGACTTTCGACTTGGGCATCTCGTCTGACTCCACCTAATACCTGGGTGAGGCCTGCTAGGGGGCTAAACAGAAAGGGCCGGGAGGTGCGGCCCACGGGAGAAATCCGTGCCCCGCTCCCAGCGCCGCCTCTTGTCTTCTCCAGTCCCTGCCGCAGGCCCCACCCTCAGCTGGGACGCCGGCTCCGAATTCCCTCCCAGTTCCCCACCCGACTTCCTTGCACAACTGACCTCCGCCAGGGGGCCCGTCTGGTGGGCGCTGGGCATCCCCGGACGGCCAGGGAAAGCCCTGAGAGAAGCCCTTGCCCGTTTAGGGCTTGGGGTCCTTGCTGGGCTTGGGAGCTCACTGCCCCTGAGTAATAGAAGGCTTCTCTGTCCAGTGATGTTAAACCTTGTCCCTTTTTCTAGGCTCTGAGCAACTTGGTGCGCCTGCCGGTTCTCCCTGCCTCTCTGAGATTTCTGACTCCTCTCCCTCAGAGTCTGTGTTCCCGGGGACTCTGCACCCACTCACGCGACAGTCTCCCAAATAGGCGGTTCCACCCGCTCTCAGCTTCAAGGTGGCCAGACTGTCACCTCAGTCTGTACCTTCAGGCCCGTGCTTCAGAGAACCCACACTCCGGTTTCTTTCCAGGAGAGAAGGAAGGTGAGACAAAGTGGCATGCCGCTGGAGACCTCAAACAGGAATCTTGTCGTGGTTTCATTCTTTGTTATTGACAGACAGTATTCCGTTGGGTATATAAGTATGTACAAACATTCTATATCAGTAGGAAGGGGGCGTAGATCTCTTCAGAGTTTAGCAAGGACGGTAAATCATCTGTGATAACTGAGTCCAGCGGTTCCTTCCCCTGGGGCTAGACTGCATGGCCAACACCAAGGAAGAAACAATTTGGGGGGAAGCTTTTGGTTCATCAGCATAGGCGCCTCTAGCACTTAGCACACACTTTTTGTAAAATGTGCAGTTCAGGCTGTACGTGCACTGTGGAACTTATTCCAAGAACAAATGAAACTCAACTTCATTTAGTAGACGTAGTCTTACTGTGTGAATTATTTTGAAATGAGTTAAAGTAGGACAAAGAAAGTAAGTTATTATACGAAATGCTAGGAAACAAGATGTTCAGCGTTAGAGAAAAGGGATGGAGTATAAATTCAAGAAAGTTAAGGGAAAAGGCTGTAAAGTTAAGCCAGGCATGGTGGCTCGTGTCTATAATCCCAGCACTTGGGGAAGCTGAGGCAAAAGGATCGCTTGAGGCCAGGAGTTGGAGACCAGCCACGGAAACATAGCAAGGCTCTGTCTCTAGAAATAATAATATTAATGAAATTAGCTGGGTGTGGTGGTATGTGCTTGTGGTCCTAACTACTTAGGAGACTGAGGCAGGAGGATTGCTTGAGTCCAGAAATCTGAGGCAGCAGTCAGCTACGATCATGTCACTGCACTCCAGTCTGGGCAACAGAGTGAGACCCTGTCTCAAAAACAAAGTCTGTAAAGTTGAATTTGAATCAGAAGCCAGAAATTTGTGCAATTTAGTTTTATACAATAACACCAAAGCATGTGGTTTTTCTCTTCCAGATGTGTTGGTTTTCTAGTACCTATGACTAACCTTTGTTTTTAAGGATTCTCCCAGCAGCAGTAGCAGAGAGGAAGGTTGTGCCCACATAAAGTCTGCAGTTGTGTTTTGTTTGGCCCAAATAGGACTTTTTTCTTTTTATATTTGAAGTAACATTTCTAAATTGAATTGATAATTAAATATCAGAATTTCCAGCTTCTTTTGAATAATGTGAAGGCTTGGCAAACTAGGCTTCTTTCTCACTGAGGTGAGCACTGGTGCCTCTTAAAGAGGGGCCTGGGTGCTCTGGTTTGCTAGGGGTTCCCCATTTGGGCATTTGAGTTTCCTACTCCTGAGGCATAGTGGAGTTCTTAGCCAGTGGTGATAGTCAAAACATTTAACAGCTGAAGCACCAACCAGTTAGAACAGACCAAGGCCACTATGTTGGATGGTGGAGAGGTGGGCCTGGGGAGGAGTGAGGAGGCTTTTGATATTTTAATATGATAGGTCTCTGTATATGCATATACTCTTTGAAGCTGCCCTGCTTTTCACTTACCTATTCACACTGAAAGATTAAAATCTTAAATCTGATTACTCTGAAATGAAACTCTCCTGCATTGGCCCAAAAGCCTACTTTTTAAAGAATTTTAATTGCCTCTCCCCCTCTCCAAGCCTTAGAAGGCAGGTTGGTGAAAGCTCAGTCCCATTCATTCATTTAGTTGACATTTGTCACATTTCTACTGTGTGCTAGGCTTTGAAGAAAAGGAGAGAATGATGAAGAGATGGCTAACAATCAGACCTGTCCTCTTCTGAATCTAGCTGCTTCTAGGAGAAACCATTTGAGAACCGTCCCCAAGAAGAGAGTGGTTTGCCTAGACTGTGAGAGAGCATGGAAAGTTCTTCCTTTCTGAGGAAGATTACCTGCCCCATGCCTTCCCCACTGCCAGTCTTACAAGTAATGTTTCAGGGGCAACACAGCTGGTAGAATTCCTTTAACAGTACCTCAGTTGTCTCCAAATCTGTCTGCACATTGGAGTCACCGAGGAATTTTAAAATATTGTGTCCCACAGGTCTGGACTTAGGAATTTTTTGATGACCTCCATGACATTCCAGTGTGTAGACGTTTGAGAACCAGCGCCACAGCAATTGGCAGTAACATTTTTTTTTAAAGTTGCAAATGCCTGAAAGGTAAGAAGTATGTAAAAATGATGTTAAAAGTCTAGGTCTGATAAAAGACATGAGTAGAGAAATGAGTGAAATTTGAATAGACTCCGTAGGCTAGTTACTGGCATTGTATCATCTCCTGATTTTGACCAATGACTATTGTTATATAAGAGAATATGTCTGTTTTTGTAAATACACAGAAGTATTTAGAGGTAAAGGGTATCGTATCTGCAACTGACTCTCAAATGTTTCAGAAAAAAAAGAGAATGAATAAAGTAAGTGTGGTAAAATGTTAACATTTAGGAAATTTGGGGGTTAAAGCTTTTTTTTTTTTTACTATATTTGCAACTTTTTTAAAGTCTGAAATTATTGTTAAATAGCAAAATTTTCAAAATGAACCATACTTACAAGTCAAGAATAAAAAGACAAATAACCCAGTTAAAAATGAGTCAAGGATATGAATAGACATTCCTCCAAAAAAGTTATACAGGTGGACAATAAACATGTGAAAAGATGTTCAACATCATTAGTCATCAGGGAAATGCAAATCAAAATCACACTGAGATATCATTCACAGCCATTAAGATGGCTAACATGAAAAAGACAAATAATGGGTATTGGCAAGGATGTAGAGAAACTGGAACCCTCATGCACTGCTAGTGGGAAGGTAAAATGATGCAGCCACTTTGGAAAAGAGCTTGGAGGTTCATCAAAAGATTAAACAAAGGGTTACCAGTTGACTCAGCAATTCCGTTCTAGGTATATACCAAGTTGCAACAAAAATGTACGTTCACAAAAACTCAGATGTTTATATTAATCTCTGTACTCAAATGCTTATAGTAGTATTATTTATAATAGGCAAAAAGTTAAAACAACCCAAGTGTTCATCAACTGATAAATGGATAAACAAAATGTGGCATATCTATGGACTATTACTCGGCAATGAAAGGAAGTATTGACGCAGTACACAACATGGATGAACCTTTTAAACATTATGCAGAATGAAAGAAATCAGACACAAAAGGCCATATATTATATGATTTCATTTATATGGAATGTACAGGATAGGCAAATCTGTAGAGACAAATAAGTATACTGGTGTCTGCCTCGGGCTGGAATCAGGGAGTGACGCTAATGGGTATGGAGGTTTTTTTTAATGTGATGAAAATGTAAAATTGATTGTGGTAATGACTACATAACTCCGTAAATATACAAAAAACCATTAAATTGTATGTTTAAATGGGTATATGAATTATATCTCAATAAAGCTACTATTTTAAAACCATGAATAAATATGATTTCACTCTAGTGGTAGAAGTGCATGCTGAATTGTTTAGGGATGAATTGCAATGGCGTCTGCAACTTATTTTCAAGTGGATAAAAAGAAAAAAAGACAATGCATGGATGGAGAGATAGATAGATGTGATAAAGCAATATAGCAAAATGTCACAGTCTGAGTGCAGTGGCTCACACCTGTAATCCCAGCACTTTGGGAGGGAGGCTTAGGCGGGAGGATCACTTGAGTCCAGGAATTTGAGACCAGGATAGAGAGACCCCTATCTCTACAAAAATAATTTTTTAAAGAACTTGCCAGGCATACTGGTATGTGCCTATATATACTTGGAAGGCTGGGGTGGGATTGCTTGAACTCAGGAGTTCAAGACTGCAGTGTGCTATG